CGGGCCGGCCCTTTTTTTTTTTTTTTTTTTTTAAAAAAAAGATGACTGGTAAGGGGATCTTAACCCTTGACTTGGTGTTTTTTTTTTTTTTAAACAGTCATTGCCTCAGTAGGGTTTCTCTCATATGTGTGTCCTGAGAAGTGTGAGAAGGTATGACATCTGTTAGCAGGCTTTCCACATTTGCTGCACTCATATGGCTTCTATATCATGTGATTTCTCTGATGTATCATGAGCTGTGACTTCCTGTTGAAGGTGGTCCCACATTCACTGCACCCATAATACTTATCTCCTGTATGAATTCTCTGATGCCTCATTAGGTGTGACTTTCTAGTGAAAGACTTCCCACATTCACCACATTGATAGGGTCTCTCTCCTGTATGAATTCTCCGATGGATAATGAGCTGTGCCTTCTCAAAAAATGCTTTTGCACAATCACTGCATCCATAGGTTTTCTCTCCTGTGTGATTTCTTTGATGCTTAATGAGCTGCACTTTCTGAACAAAGGCTTTCCCACATTCGCTGCATTCATAGGGCTTCTCCCCTGTGTGGATTCTCTGATGCCTAAGGAGCTGTGGCTTCCAGGCAAAAGCCTTCCTACATTCATTGCACTCAAAGGGCTTTTCTCCAGTGTGGGTCCTCTGATGATGAATGAGACTTGACTTCTCACTGAAGGTTTTCTGGCATTCATTGCATTCATAGGGCTTCTCGCCTGTGTGTGTTCTCTGATGTGATATCAGGCTTGACTTCTGGGTGAAGGCTTTCCCACACTCAGTGCACTCATAAGGTTTCTCCCCAGTGTGAGTTCTCTGATGTGTTAGGAGCTGTGACTTCCCAAAGAAGGTTTTTCCACATTCAACACATCCATAGGGCTTATCTCCTAAATGAATTTTTTGATGTCTTATTAGCTCTGACTTCTTAAAGAAGGCCTCTTCACAACCACTACATCGGTAGTTCTTCTCTCCCGTGTGAGTTATCTGATGTTTAATGAGCTGTGGTTTCCTGATGAAGGCCTCGCCACACTCACTGCATCCATAGGGCTTCTCTCCCGTATGAATCCTCTGATGTCTAATGAGGAGTGAGTTCCTGCTGAAGGCTTTTTTACACTCACTACATACATAAGGTTTCTTCCCTGTGTGAATCCTCTGGTGAGTAATAAGCTGTGACTTCCAAAAGAAGGCTTTTCCACAATCGCTACATTTATAGGGTTTCTCTCCTGTATGCACTCTCTGATGTGTAATGAGTTTTAATTTCTGGGAGAAAGTTTTCCCACAATCACTGCAACCGTAGGGTTTCTCTATTGTATGGGTTATCTGATGTCTTTTGAGCTGTGACTTCCTGCTGAAGGCTTTCCCACAGTCGCTGCATTCATAGGGCCTCTCTCCAGTGTGAGTTCTCTGATGTAAAATGAGCAGTGACTTCCTACTGAAGGCTTTCTGACACTCATCACAGACGTATGGTTTTTCTCCTGAATGAGTCCTTTGATGGAGAGTAAGCAGTGACCTCTGTGAGAAGGCCTTCTCACACTCATTGCACCGGAAGGGCTTCTCTCCTGTGTGTGTTCTCCGGTGGATGATAAGCTGTGACTTCTTGTTAAAAACTTTGTCACATTCCATGCATAAATAAACTCCTGCATGTGTCATAGGACTGGTAATGAGCCATGACTCTTTGCAGCCAGCTTTTCTACACTTATTGCAATTACAGTATTTTATTCCACCATGGGTTCTGTCAGGTTTGATATAGAATAACAATTTCTTATTGAGCTCATCAAATTCCTTTCTTCCACAATTATTTTTTGGAATAAAAAAATCAAAAGGATGTTTCAAACTTTTTTCACCTGTGCCACACTTATGGGGTCTCATTCCTAAATGAAAAAAGTTTATGCTTGAATTAAATATTTTTCCCAAAAGATCATATTCATGGCCTCTCTGCATACTTTTAAGCTTGTCTTGATTATCTTGATGCCACATTTTGGAATTATTATCTAGCCAGACTTCTAAAAAGGAAAAAAAATGAACCATACTGTGTAATTCCCTCAATGATTATGCTTACTGAATAAAACTTCTAAATTGGAGCCCAGGATCCCAGTCCAAAAAAGAAAAAAGAAAAAAAAAACCCATGAATAACATCTACTTATTGGGCATTGAAAATTTTAACATAAGTGAAAACAGATCTTAAAATTATAAATGTTTAAAAATATAAAATTTTAAATAAGGAAATATGAAATATACTCAAAGCATAGTGATAATGAGTTAAAAGAATCTGGAGCAATTTCTAATCAAATACTGGGGTGGTTAATTTCTTTATTGAAGAATAATCTACAATTATCTACTATGCGTCTCAAGCTTTGTTAGTAGCAGGAGATCAGGGAAGAAGACAGGTTAAGTTCCCCACCATCAGAAGTTTCACAATATAGTGAAGAATGAGAATAACAAGTACATAAAAAGCAAGATTACATTGTTGAATGGTATAAAAGAAGAAATACTGCATATGATACAGAGTAAATATAGGATATCAACTTTACATCTGAAAGATATGAAGTATTAATTTTCTATAGTATTATCACATTTAAAAAACATTCTCATTCAAGATCATCACCTGAATTAATGACATCAGTACCTTCACCATCACTAAAGCTAGTTTATGGAATTATCCAAGAGTTCTCCAGAGCTCAGTATCAACAATTTTATTTAAGGTTCTTGACATTCATCCCTTTTAAACTGGATCTATAATTGAATCTGTAATCTACATGTTGAACATATAGATTATACTAAATATAACGTTATCAATGGCAATTATTCCAACTCATAAGAACTGTTCATATAATATTAGGTCAGATTTTTTTTCACCCTATGAGAACAACTGTTTGCAATTTCCACAACATGAATATTGAATATTGAATATTTTAAAGTGATCTTTTAAAGGTTTGTTTACTTTTTGATATCCTTTTCTAGCAATTGTGAAGTAAAATTCCCAGGAAGTACTTTGCAAGATGAAAGATTTGGCAAGGTTTCAAATATAAAGCAACTACGCCTTTCTGAGGGATAATATTTTGTGGGGGAAAAAGCCTCATCTAATTCTCAGACATCAGAATTTCAGAGGAAGAACCAACTAAGAGCTGCTGGTATAAAGAAGAAAGAAAGGAGGAGTCAATGTTTTAGGCATAAATGAGTGGAGATGATAATACTATTCATTGAGATAAAAAAGACTATGGAAAGAAATCTGGCAATCAAAACAAGAGTTATATGTGACATATAAATTGTGAGATCCACTTGAAGAGTTTACAGAAAGTTGTTTTATAAAATGTGAGAGCAAAGAAAAACAATCATTTAAAAATCAAATCAAGAAATAAGATTAAGAAATATATTTTTCCCAAGTGATGGATTAAATGATATCAAACAGTAGTAAGGCAGTTCATCTACAAACTTAAAGGTTCAGATATTCAATTGAGTAAAAAACACCTTTAAGAAATTAAAAAAAAAAAAAAAAACTTGTCATTTTGGAAGACAGGTGGACCACAATTTATTGGTGTTACATACGGTACACATATATTTCTTTCTCTGTTTCTGCCACAGTCTGATTTCTACAACCTTCATTTCATCCTGTTTCTCTAACCTTTATTCCTGCTTCCAGTCTAGCTCCCAATTCTAGCCTCCACACAGCATCCAGTAATTTTTACAAAATGCAATTAGGCATTTTCATCCCCTGCTTAAAACTCTTTGAAAGTTCAAACTTCACCATGGCATGCACACCCTTGCAGACCTGGCTTCTTCCAACCTCTTCAACTTCATCTCATAACACGGTCATGTGCCACATATACGGTGGTAGTCTGAGTGAAGACTACATAGATGGTTTGTGTGAGCACACTCTCCGATGTTCGTACAATGATGAAATCACCTAAGGTGCATTGCTCAGAGCATGTCCCATCTTTAAGCCAGGCAGGACCATGCTCACTCCTTGGTCACACCAGATTCCTCCCTGCTCCTGTGATCACACAGACCTTTTCTGCCTTTGAACCTCTGCATCTGAGGTTCCTTTTATTTGGCATGTTATTCTCAGTTTTTACCATGCTTGGCTCTAAACACCATTTTGATGGAACACTAACAAATACCCTGTTTATTTCCTTCATAGTACTTATCAAATAGGTAATCATTTTACTTCTCTCTCTCCCACTAGAATGTAAACCCCATGAGGGCAGGGAACAGGTTTGTATTTTCACTGATGTACCCCCATTGTGTAGCACATAACCAGGATAAATATACATGTAGGATAAATATAGTCACCCCTCGATATCTCTGGGGGATTGTTTCCAGGACTTCCCTTGGATGCCAAAATCTGTGTAGCACATAACCAGGATAAATATACATGTAGGATAAATATAGTCACCCCTCGATATCTGTGGGGGATTGTTTCCAGGACTTCCCTTGGATGCCAAAATCCATGGATGCTCAAGTCTCTGATATAAAATGGCACAGTATTTGCATATAACCTATGCATATCCTCATGTATATCTTAAATCATCTCTAGATTATTTACGATACCTAATAAAATGTAAATACTATTTAAATATCCATTTTACTGTATTGTTTAGGGAAGAATGACAAGGAAAAAAGTCTGTATATATTCAGCACAGACACAATTTTTTTTCTGAATTTTTTTTATTTGGCTGGCCTGTATAGGGATTGAACCCTGGACCTCGGTGTTATGAGCACCACATTCTAATCAACTGAGCTAACCAGCCAGCCTGAATATTTTTGACCTGTGGTTTGTTGAGTCCATGGATGCAGAACCCACAGATACGGAGGGCCAAGTACACTTTTCACTTATCACCGAACTTCTAAAGCAGTTCCTTTCTGTAACATTAATCTTCATAAATTAACTGTACATTTTAACACAAATGCTTTATGTTCAAATACTAAATTACTGAGTATTTTACAGTTTTATATTTTCTTCTAAATTACAATTCTATGCTACTACAAGGTTATTTCATGACTCTTATTTCCTTTCAGTTCCTCTCATCCCACATAATAGCAGTGGTTCTAAATTAATGGAGGATCATAAAGTCTATCTTCACAGCTTTTCTAAACTACATATACCCAGGCCTAATAAACCATGTGAACAGTGCCTGGACATCTGTAATTTGAAATATCTCCCAAGGTAGGCTGACACACATGCTCAGATGGAATACTTCATATAGAAGAGATACACAATAAATAAGCAAGATCCTGCCTTACCTAGCTCCACAATAACCAATTAATGAAATATTTAATGATTACACCTTTAAGCAGTTTTATAAACAACATTTTGAAAGTGTCCACCTGTCATCAATAACCTGAGATTTAATTTTCATCATATCCCATACACCTGAGTATTTCTTACCTGAAAAGTTTTGACTTAGGATTTCTCCACCTACTATCCATGGCTCTTTTTGCTCCAACTTGAAAATCACATCCGGTCTGATAATTTGATAACCTGTTAATTGGAAACACAGAGGACGTGGACCCAATGGCTTGGGCTGAGAGACTTAAACATGAAGACTATTTTACTACAAAGGCTGTGAAATAAAATAAGTGAATAAAACTTTTCAGTAAAGCCTTTCATTCAAGTGAATAAAACCTCGGATTTCCTTAAAGAAATTAAAGAACCTTTGACACCTGAAACTTATATCCAAAATCATGAGGTCAAGGGTTCAGATCCCTTTACCACCAGCTGTGAAAAAAAAAAAAGATCAGTTGACACCTCAGAGGCCCTACAGTTATTGAGCACACACTAAATTACATAAGAAGAATGTTCTTACCCAAGAAAACTAAATTGCTATAGTTCTCCAACATCACATCTCTGTACAAGTTCTTTTGAGTAGGATTAAGTAGCTGCCACTCCTCCACCGTGAAATCCACAGCCACATCCTCAAACGATATCTGGAAAAGCATAGCCCTGTTAGATTTGAAGTGATTCATATCAGGTTTTGTGGGCACAGGCTTTCTTCTGTTTCTGGTACATAGTCTCCATGATAGCCCTAGTGATCTTTGCTCCTGGTATTCATGTTTTTGTGTAATCCTCTCCTTTTGAGTGTGGGCAGGACTTACTGACTCACTTCCACTGAGTGGAAAAGGGCAAAGTAAGGGGATGCCACTCCCAAGATTAGGTTGTAAAAGAATGTGATTCCTATCTGTGAGCTCTCTCTTGCTCTCTCTGGGGGAATCTAGTTGCCATGTTGTGAGGCAGCTATGTGGAGAGGCCCATGTGGCAAGGAAATGAGGCTTGCAACACCCATGTGAGTGAGCATGGAGGGAATCATACCCCCACTGCAGCTCTTCTCAATATCTTGATTACCACGCTGGGCGAGACCCTGAACCAGACCCAACTGGGTAAGCAATGGGCAGATTCCTAAACCACAGAAACTGAGACATAAATGTTCATTATTTTCAGCCACTGAGTTTGGGGGTAATTTCTTACACAGCAATGGATAACTTATGCTATATCCTAATATGGCATTATGCTTTGAGGGAGAAACAAAGATATTATTAAATTATTTAGGGCTGGCCCGGTGGCGCACTGGATAGTGCGCCGCTTGGGAAGCGCGGCGGCGCTCCCGCCCGAGGGTTCGGATCCCACATACAGACCGGTTCCCGCTCACTGGCTGAGCGAGGCGCAGGAGCAACACCGAGGGTTGCGATCCCGTTGCCGGTCCCCGGTCCGGTACGGGGGCAACACTGAGGGTTGCGATCCGTTGCTGGACACGGAAAAAGACAAAAGACAAAAATAAATAAATAAATAAATAAAATAAATTATTTATTGTAGGGCTGGCCATTTAGCTCACTTGGGAGAGCATGGTGCTGGTGACACCAAGGTCAAGTGTTCAGATACTCAGACTGACCAGTCGCCAAAAAAATATATATATATATATATATCTCATTGTGAATTAATGCATCTACCTACCCACACACCCATTGAATAAGAAATCAGAACAGGTTGTCTTTAAATAAGTACAGTGGTTCTCAAAGAAGGTGCTGTTGGCATTTGAGAATAACTCTTAGCTGAGCAGGACTGCGCCATGCAATGTAAGACCTTCAGCATGAGTGGCCGCCCTCTATATCTATTAAATAAACTGAATTTGTGTTTAAAAATCTTCCAGTAAAGAAAACTCCAGACCCTAATCATTTTATTAGGAAATTCTACCAAACATCTAAGGAAAAAAAGGATACCACTTTTACAAAATCTCTTCCAAATAATACAAGATGAGGGTATACTTCTCAACTCATGTATGAAGCCAGCATTACCCTGAAACTGAAACCAGACAAAAATATTATGAGAAAACTACATTAAATTAGAAGCAAAAATCCTCAAGAAAATGTCAGCCAATCAAATCCAGCAATATAAAAATGTTAACACATCATGACCAAGTGATGCTCAACCCAGGAAGACAAGGCTGGCTCAATATTAAAAAATCAATCAATGTAATTCACCATTATTAACACCCTAAATAAAAAGAACCATACAATCATCTCAATAAATGAAGAGACATTTGACAAAATTCAACATTCATTCATAATTAAAAAAAAAAAAAAATCAGCAAACAAGGAATGCAAAGGAAATTCCTTAACCAAATAAATGATATCTATGAAAAGCATAGAACTAATATCATACGTTCATGGTGAGACAAATGCCTTCCCCCTAAGAGCCAGAACAAAGCCAAAAAGTCTTCTCTCATCACTCCTATTCAACACTGCACTGGAAGTCCTTGCTAGTGCAATATGGAAAGAAAAAGATATGAAAGGTAAAATAAAACTCTTTATTAATAGGTGACATTTGTCCACGTAGAAAATGCCAAAGAATATACATATCTACTAACCTCACTCCATACCTACCTCCTGAAACTAATCAGTGAGTTTAATAATGTTGAAAGAAGGGTCGGCCCATGGCTCACTTGGGAGAGTGTGGTGCTGATAACACCAAGGCCATGGGTTCAGATCCCTATATATGGATGGCCAGTTAGCTCACTTGGAGAGCATGGTGCTGACAACACCAAGTCAAGGGTTAAGATCCCCTTACCGGTCATCTTTAAAAAAAATAAAAAATAAAAAATAAATAATGTTGAAAGATATAAGGGCAATATACAAAAGTCAGTTGTATTCCTATATACCATCAATGAACAACTGAAATTTGGACAATTTTTTAAAGTGCCATTTACCATAGCAACAACAACAACAAAAGTAGTTAGGTATAAAGCTATAAAGAGATAACAAAACATTTGCAGGATCTGTATGCTGAAAACTATAAAACACTGATGAAAGAAATCAAAGAACATCTAAGTAAATGGAAAGAGATACCATGTTCATGGATCGGAAGACTTCTTGTTGTTAAGTGGTCATTTCTCCCTGGATACATCCATAGATTCATTGCAATCCTAATTACAATAACAAGTTGTTTGTAGATACTGACAAGCTGATTCTAAATTGTTCATGGAAAGGCAAAGGAACTAGAATAGCAATAACAAGATGGAAAGAAACAATGATGGAAATAGAACAATGATGTTGCAGGACTCACATTACTTGATTTCAAGACTTCCTATAAAACCACAGTAATTAAGACAAGATAGTATTAGTGAAAGGATAAGTACACAGATCAAGGGAACAGAATAGAGAGCCGAGAAACAACACCCCCCCAAGTATGCTCAATTGATTTTTTACAAAAGTGCAAAAAGTAATTCCAGAGAGAAAGAAGTGTCTTTTCAACAAATGATATAAGAACAATGGGATACAAACATAAGCAAAAGAATAAATCTCAACACATATCTCATACCTTATATCAAAACTAACTCAAAATGGGTCACAGACCTAAATGTAAAATAAAACTTCAAAGCTTCTACAAGAAAACAGGAGAAAACCTGCATGACCTTGGGTTTGGCAATGAGTTTTTAGATGCAACATCAAAAATCTGATCAATTTAAGGAAAAAAATTAATAAACTGGACTTTTTGAAAATTAAAAACTTTTGCTCTATGAAAGACACTGTTAAGAGAAAGAAAAGATGTGGTGCAGACTGGGAGAAAATATTTGTGAATCACATATCTGCTAAAGCACTCATATCCAGAATATACAGAATGCTCAACCATGAGAAAACGAACAACCCCATTTCAAAAATGGGCAAATGGGGGCCGGCCCAGTGGCGCACTGCTACAGTGTGCCGCTTGGGAGCGTGGCGGCGCTCTCGCCGAGGGTTCGGATCCCACATACAGACCAGCCGCTCACTGGCTGAGCGAGGTGCGGGCGTGACACCGAGGGTTGTGATCCCGTTGCCGGTCCTGGTCTGGTGCGGGCGCGACACTGAGGGTTGTGATCCCGTTGC